CCTTAACTGTGATTGGTGGACTAAATGTCATCACCATAATACAACCAATAGGAGAACAGAGCAGTAAGTCAGCATAACACCCCAACTTATGTTTTCCTGTTGGATATTTAGTCTCCTTTACATTGTTCATGATGCGATGATACTGGAAGTGCGATGGGCAGTGTATTTATATAACGTCATATCTTCCATTGTTCTAAATAGTGCTCAAACAACTGCCCCCAGAGGAACTACAGGTGTCGTACATATTGCATTCGTCCAACAATTCATTCCTTAACTGTGATTGGTGGACTAAAATGTAAATACACCATAATACAGCCAATAGGAGAACAGAGCAGTAAGTCAGCATAACACCCCAACTTATGTTTTCCTGTTGGATATTTAGTCTCCTTTACATTGTTCATGATGCGATGATACTGGAAATGCGATGGGCGGTGTATTTATTTAACGTCATATCTCCCATTGTTCTAAATAGTGCTCAAACAACTGTCCCAGGGGCACTACAGGGGTAGCACGTCAGACCCTCTCGCTTACCATACCAGGTGCAACGCCCCCTGGGGCCCTCTCAGGGGCGTCGGAGAGATTAAAGGCCCTCCCAGAGGAGGCAGCGTCCCCAGGGGCCATTCCAGGGACGTCGGTGAAACCAGGGGTCCTCACAGTAAGGCGGCGCTGCAAGGGGCCGTCCAAGGGGCGGCCACAACACGCAGGGCCACTTTCAGGGGCGGCAGCGAACAATGGGGCCCGACCAGGGGCGGCAGTAACCTCCAGGGATCCTCCCAGCGAGGGCGGCGACCCCAGGGGTCCTCACAGGAAGACGGCACCCCCAGCGGCTCTCAGGGGCGGCGGCGCTCTCTGGGACCTTTCCAGGTTCCGTGGTGACCATAGGGGTGATCTCAGGTGCGTCGTCGTCCCCATAGGCCCACCCAGGGGCTACGGTGCCCTCTCCCAGGAGCCCTATAACTTGCTTGGTCGTGGTGTCGTACAATTGCATACGTCCTGCAATTCCTTCCTTAACTGTGATTGGTGGACTAAAATGTAAATCCACCAAATTTCAGCCAATAGGAGAACAGAGCAGTAAGTCAGCACAACACCCCAACTTATGTTTTCCTGTTGGATATTTAGTCTCCTTTACATTGTTCATGATGCGATGATATTGGAAATGCGATGGGCAGTATATATATTTAACGTCATATCTCCCATTGTTTCGTAGATTTACTAAAACAACACTTTGTCAGGGGCCTTCTGCGGGTAGCATCAGACCACTAAACACCGCACAGGTGCAACGCCCCTGGGGCCCTCTCCAGGGGCGTCGGAGAGAGATTAAGGCCTCCCAGAGGCAGCGTCTGAGGGGCCCATTCCAGGAGGACGTCGGTGAAACCAGGGGTCCTCACAGGAAAGAGCGGCACTGCAAGGGAGCCGATCAAGGGCGTATACAACCGCATGAGGAGCCCCTTTCAGGGGCAACGAACAATGGGGCCCAGGCAGGGCAGCAGTAACCCTGAGGATCCTCCCCATCGAGGCAGCGACCCAGGGGTCCTCACAGGAAAAGCCGGCACCCCAAGCAGGCGTCTCAGAGGCCGGCGGCGCTCTCTAGGACCTTCCAGGTTCGTGGTGACCTAGGGGCCCTCTCCAGGTGCACGTCGTCGTCCCCATAGGCCTCCCAGGGGCTCACGGTGCCCTCTCCCAGGGCCTATAACTGGCGAATGTGGTGTCGTACATATTGCATCGTCTATAATTCCTTCATAACTGTGATTGGGTGGACTAAAATGTAAATCCCTCAAAATTACAATAATAAAGACAGAGCAGTAAGTCAGCATAACACCCCAACTTATGTTTTCTGTTGGATATTTAGTCTCCTTTACATTGTTCATGATCACGATGATACTGTGGAGATTAAGTGGGCAGTGTATTTATATAGCAATCACCATCTTCATTGTTCACAATAATTGCTTTCGAACAACCTTTGGAAGAACTTCCACCAGGTGTCTTACATATTGCATTCGTCCAACAATTCATTCCTTAACTGTGATTGGTGGACTAAAATGTAAATACACCATAATACAGCCAATAGGAGAACAGAGCAGTAAGTCAGCATAACACCCCAACTTATGTTTTCCTGTTGGATATTTAGTCTCCTTTACATTGTTCATGATGCGATGATACTGGAAGTGCGATGGGCAGTGTATTTATATAACGTCATATCTTCCATTGTTCTAAATAGTGCTTAAACAACTGTCCCCAGAGGAACTACAGGTGTTGTACATATTGCATACGTCCAACAATTCCTTCCTTAACTGTGATTGGTGGACTAAAATATAAATCCACCATATTACAGCCAATAGGAGAACAGAGCAGTAAGTCAGCATAACACCCCAACTTATGTTTTCCTGTTGGATATTTAGTCTCCTTTATATTGTTCATGATGCGATGATACTGGAAATGCGATGGGCAGTGTATTTATAAAACGTCATATCTCCCATTGTTCTAAATAGTGCTTAAACAACTGTCCCAGGGGCATTACAGGGGTAGCACATCAGACCCTTTCGTTTGCCATACCAGGTGCAACGCCCCCTGGGGCCCTCTCAGGGGCGTCGTAGAGCTCAAAGGCCCTCCCAGAGGAGGCAGTGTCCCCAGGGGCCGTTCCAGGGACTTCTGTGAAACCAGGGGTCCTCACAGGAAGGCTGCGCTGCAAGGGGCCTATCAAGGGGCGGCCATAAATACAGGTCCCGTTTCAGGGGCGGCAGCGACCCATGGGGGCCTTACCAGGGGCGGCACTAACCTCCAGGGATCTTCCTAGAGACGACGGCGACCCCAGGGGTTCTCACAGGAAGACGGCACCCTCAGGGGCCCTATCAGGGGCGGCGGCGCCCTCAGGGACCTTCCCAGGTGCCGTGGACACCCTAGGGGCCCTCTCAGGTGCGTCGTCGTCCCCAAAAACCCTCCCAGGGGAAGCAGTGCCCTCTCCCAGGAGCCCTATAGCTTGCTTGGTCTTGGTTTTGTACATATTGCATAAGTCCGGCAATTCCTTCCTTAACTCTGATTGGTGGACTGAAATGTAAATCCACCAAATTACAGCCAATAGGAGAACAGAGCAGTAAGTCAGCACAACACCCCAACTTATGTTTTCCTGTTGGATATTTAGTCTCCTTTACATTGTTCATGATGCGATGATACTGGAAATGCGATGGGCAGTGTTTATATAACGTCATATCTCCCATTGCTCTAAATAGTGCTCAAACAACTGCCCCAGGGGCACTGCAGGGGTAGCACATCAGGCCCTCCCGTTTGCCATAGCAAGTGCAACACCCCCTGGGGCCCTTTTAGGGGCGTCGGATTTGCTCAAAGGCCCTCCCAGAGGAGGCAGCGTCCCCAGGGGGTGTTCCAGGGACGGCGGTGAAACCAGAGGTCCTCACAGGAAGGAGGCACTGCAAGGGGCCGTCCAAGGGGCGGCCACAACCCCAGGGTCTCTTTCAGGGGGGGGGGGCAGCGACCCAAGGGGCCCTACCACGGGTGGCAGCAACCTCAGGGCCTGACAAGAGACAGCGGTTAGCCCAGGGGCCCTCCCAGGATCGTAGACGACCACAGGGATCCGCCCAGAGATGGCGGCGACCCCAGGGGTCCTCACAGGAAGACCGCACCCCCAGGTGCCCTCTCAGGGGCGGTGGCGCCCTCAGGGACCTTCCCAGGTGCCGTGGTGACCCTAGGGGCCCTCTCAGGTGCGTCGTCGTCCCCAAACGCCCTCCCAGGGGCTGCGGTGCCCTCTCCCTGGAGCCCTATAACTTGCTTGGTCGTGGTGTTGTACATATTGCATACGTCCGGCAATGCCTTCCTTAACTGTGATTGGTGGACTAAAATGTAAATACACCAAATTTCAGCCAATAGGAGAACAGAGCAGTAAGTCAGCACAACACTCCATCTTATGTTTTCCTGTTGGATATTTAGTCTCCTTTACATTGTTCATGATGCGATGATATTGGAAATGCGATGGGCAGTATATATATTTAACATCATATCTCCCAGTGTTCTAAATGGTGCTAAAACAACTGCCCCCAGAGGAACTACAGGTGTTGTACATATTGCATTCGTCCAACAATTCATTCCTTAACTGTGATTGGTGGACTAAAATGTAAATACACCATAATACAGCCAATAGGAGAACAGAGCAGTAAGTCAGCATAACACCCCAACTTATGTTTTCCTGTTGGATATTTAGTCTCCTTTACATTGTTCATGATGCGATGATACTGGAAATGCGATGGGCAGTGTATTTATAAACGTCATATCTCCCATTGTTCTAAATAGTGCTTAAACAACTGTCCCAGGGGCACTACAGGGGTAGCACATCAGACCCTCTCGCTTACCATACCAGGTGCAACGCCCCCTGGGGCCCTCTCAGGGGCGTCGGAGAGATTAAAGGCCCTCCCAGAGGAGGCAGCGTCCCCAGGGGCCATTCCAGGGACGTCGGTGAAACCAGGGGTCCTCACAGGAAGGCGGCGCTGCAAGGGGCCGTCCAAGGGGCGGCCACAACACGCAGGGCCACTTTCAGGGGCGGCAGCGCACAATGGGGCCCGACCAGGGGCGGCAGTAACCTCCAGGGATCCTCCCAGCGAGGGCGGCGACCCCAGGGGTCCTCACAGGAAGACGGCACCCCCAGCGGCTCTCAGGGGCGGCGGCGCTCTCTGGGACCTTCCCAGGTTCCGTGGTGACCATAAGGGTCCTCTCAGGTGCGTCGTCGTCCCCATAGGCCCACCCAGGGGCTACGGTGCCCTCTCCCAGGAGCCCTATAACTTGCTTGGTCTTGGTGTCGTACATATTGCATACGTCTCGCAATTCCTTCCTTGACTGTGATTGGTGGACTAAAATGTAAATCCACCAAATTTCAGCCAATAAGAGAACAGAGCAGTAAGTCAGCACAATTCCCCAACTTGGTTTTCCTGTTGGATATTTAGTCTCCTTTACATTGTTCATGATGCGATGATACTGGAAATGCGATGGGCAGTATATATATTTAACGTCATATCTCCCATTGTTCTAAATAGTGCTCAAACAACTGTCCCAGGGGCACTACAGGGGTAGCACGTCAGACCCTCTCGCTTACCATACCAGGTGCAACGCCCCCTGGGGCCCTCTCAGGGGCGTCGGAGAGATTAAAGGCCCTCCCAGAGGAGGCAGCGTCCCCAGGGGCCATTCCAGGGACGTCGGTGAAACCAGGGGTCCTCACAGGAAGGCAGCGCTGCAAGGGGCCGTCCAAGGGGCGGCCACAACACGCAGGGCCCCTTTCAGGGGCGGCAGCGAACAATGGGGCCCGACCAGGGGCGGCAGTAACCTACAGGGATCCTCCCAGCGAGGGCGGCGACCCCAGGGGTCCTCACAGGAAGACGGCACCCCCAGCGGCCGTCTCAGGGGCGGCGGCGCTCTCTGGGACCTTCCCAGGTTCCGTGGTGACCCTAGGGGCCCTCTCAGGTGCGTCGTCGTCCCCATAGGCCCTCCCAGGGGCTACGGTGCCCTCTCCCAGGAGCCCTATAACTTGCTTGGTCTTGGTGTCGTACATATTGCATACGTCTCGCAATTCCTTCCTTGACTGTGATTGGTGGACTAAAATGTAAATCCACCAAATTACAGCCAATAGGAACAGAGCAGTAAGTCAGCATAACACCCCAACTTATGTTTTCCTGTTGGATATTTAGTCTCCTTTACATTGTTCATGATGCGATGATACTGGAAGTGCGATGGGCAGTGTATTTATATAACGTCATATCTCCCATTGTTCTAAATAGTGCTCAAACAACTGCCCCCAGAGGAACTACAGGTGTCTTACATATTGCATTCGTCCAACAATTCATTCCTTAACTGTGATTGGTGGACTAAAATGTAAATACACCATAATACAGCCAATAGGAGAACAGAGCAGTAAGTCAGCACAACACCCCAACTTATGTTTTCCTGTTGGATATTTAGTCTCCTTTACATTGTTCATGATGCGATGATACTGGAAGTGCGATGGGCAGTGTATTTAAATAACGTCATATCTTCCATTGTTCTAAATAGTGCTTAAACAACTGTCCCAGGGGCATTACAGGGGTAGCACATCAGACCCTTTCGTTTGCCATTCCAGGTGCAACGCCCCCTGGGGCCCTCTCAGGGGCGTCGTAGAGCTCAAAGGCCCTCCCAGAGGAGGCAGTGTCCCCAGGGGCCGTTCCAGGGACGTCTGTGAAACCAGGGGTCCTCACAGGAAGGCTGCGCTGCAAGGGGCCTTCCAAGGGGCGGCCATAAATACAGGTCCCGTTTCAGGGGCGGCAGCGACCCATGGGGGCCTTACCAGGGGCGGCACTAACCTCCAGGGATCATCCCAGAGACGACGGCGACCCCAGGGGTTCTCACAGGAAGACGGCACCCTCAGGGGCCCTATCAGGGGCGGCGGCGCCCTCAGGGACCTTCCCAGGTGCCGTGGACACCCTAGGGGCCCTCTCAGATGCGTCGTCGTCCCCAAAAACCCTCCCAGGGGAAGCAGTGCCCTCTCCCAGGAGCCCTATAGCTTGCTTGGTCTTGGTTTTGTACAAATTGCATACGTCCGGCAATTCCTTCCTTAACTCTGATTGGTGGACTGAAATGTAAATCCACCAAATTACAGCCAATAGGAGAACAGAGCAGTAAGTTAGCACAACACCCCAACTTATGTTTTCCTGTTGGATATTTAGTCTCCTTTACATTGTTCATGATGCGATGATACTGGAAATGCAATCGGCAGTGTATTTATTTAACATCATATCTCCCATTGTTCTAAATGGTGCTAAAACAACTGCCCCCAGAGGAACTACAGGTGTTGTACATATTGCATTCGTCCAACAATTCATTCCTTAACTGTGATTGGTGTATCAAGTGAAACATGTATATGGAGCAAGTAACAAGATCACTAGAGTACAAGATGATGTAATCGCTAGATTAGGGTACGAATAAAAGTGCCTCTGGCAGTATGTTCCTCAAGCAGATGTGAACAAAACTAAATGTAAAGTGTGTGGCCAGATATATGGCCACACACTCCTGTACTCACGCAGTTCCGAATGACTTACTCATTATGTATAGACCTAAACAAAGAATTTATTTGAAATAATCTGTAACATTCAATGCCATAATATCCTGACTATGGGGGTTAGTTATAACGACCCTTTGTGAACTACTATACACTGCAATTCTTTTGCGCTACCGCTCACAGGATGAGTATGGGTTGCACAATAAACTAGCCGCTGTAAGTGGCAAAAATAAAATTAATCCCTGCCTCCCTCTCTGTCTCCCTGCCTCCCTCCCTTTCTGCCTCCGTCCCTCCCTGCCTCTCTCCTTCCCTCCTGCCTCCCCTGCCTCCTCCCTCCCTGCCTCCCCTCCCTCCTCCCCCTCCTGCCTCCTTCCCTCTCCCTCCCTCCTCCCTCCCCCTGCCTCCTCCTTCACTCCCTGCCTGCCTTCCTCCCTCATTCCCTGGCTCCCTCCATCCCTCCCTGCCTCCCTCCCCTGCCTCCCTCCCTCCTCCTCCCTCCCTACCTTCCTCCCTCATGGCCTCCTGCCCACCTCCCCTGCCTACCTCCCTGCTCCATCCCTGCCTCCCTGCCTGCCATCCTCCATGCCTCCCTACCCACATCCCTGCCTCTCTTTTAGCCATCTCTACCCTCCTACTTCTCTCCCTGCCTCCTTGCATCCCACGCTGCCCTCGTCCCTGCCTCCGTCCCTGCCTCCCTCTCTGCCTCCGTCCCTGCCTCCGTCCCTGCCTCCCTCTGCCTCCGTCCCTGCCTCCGTCCCTGCCTCCGTCCCTGACACCCTCCCTGCCTCCGTCCCTGCCTCCGTCACTGCCTCCCTCTCTGCCTCCGTCCCTGCCTCCGTCCCTGCCTCCGTCCCTGCCTGCCTGCTAGCCGACCACTCTTCTTGCCTGCTGCATGCCTACGTGCCTACTTGATCTCCCTGCCTATCTCCCTACCTGCCAGCCTCCCTGCCTGACTGCCTCCCTCACTCGCCCCTTCCTTGCTTGGTTGTCTGCTGGGGTCTCAGCTGCCCCTGCGCGGGCCCTTGGGATCGCAGCCGCCCCTGGGAGGGTCTCTGCGGACACAACCGCACCTGGGAGGTCCTCTGGGGTCGCTGCCGCCCCTGGCAGAGCCCCTATGGTCGCTGACACCTCTGGGAGGGCACCTGGGGTCACCGCCGTACCTGGGAGGGCCTCTAGGGTCGCTGCCGCACCTGGGAAGGCCCTTGGGGCCAGAGGTGCACCTGAGAGCGCCCCTACGGACGCCGTTGACTGGGGGAGGGCCCCTGTGGGTGCCTCCACCCCTGAGAGGGCCCCGAGGGATGCTCCCGCTCTTGGGCCGGCTTCTGGGGTCGCCGGTGCCCATGGAAAGGCCCATGGGGACACTGACGCCCGTGGAAGGGCCCCTGGAGCAGTTGTTGTCGCACCATTTACAAAAATGGGAGATATGACGTTATATAAATACACTGCCCATCGCATTTCCAGTATCATCGCATCATGAACAATGTAAAGGAGACTAAATATCCAACAGGAAAACATAAGTTGGGGTGTTATGCTGACTTACTGCTCTGTATGTAATTTGATGGGTTGATCTGTCTGGATTGAGGAAAATTAGACGTATGCAATATGTTTTATACGACTATAAGCAAGTATAGGGCTCTGGGAAGGCTCACATATAGGAGAACCTATAAGAGACAAACGACACACCTAGGAAAGGCCCTATGAGGTGCCCTGAGACCCTGTGCCGCCCACTCTGCTGGGGATCTCTGGAATTCTGCCTGGTGAACTGAAAATGGCGCCCTTGGACCAGCCCTTACAATGCCATGCTGTGAGGCCCTGGTTTCGCAACGTCTGGAATAACACAGGGCGCTGCCTCCTCTGGAAGACACCAATCTCTCCGACGCCTGAAGGCTGAAATGACATTTTTCAGTATAATGGCGAGAGAATTGATGTGCCTACCTACGTGCCTGGGACGTTTCTTTGTTTACCCAGAACAATGGGAATATAGCGTTAAATGACCACACTGCCCATAGCATTTTCAGTATCAACCATCATGAACAATGTATAAGGACTAAATATCAACAGAAATATAAGTTGGGGTGTTATACTGACTTACTGCTCTGTTCTCCTATTGGCTGTAATATGAGTGTATATATATTTTTAGTCCACCAATCACGATTAAAGGAAGAATTGTTGGGCCGAATGCAATATGTACAACACCTGTAGTTCCTCTGGGGGTTTGTTGTTTTGGCACCATTTAGAACAAGAGATATGACGTTAAATGCTATACACTACCGCCAGCATTTCCGTCGTATCATACATCATGAACAATGTAAAGAATAAATATCAACAGGAAAACATATAAGTTGGGTGTTGTGCTGACTTACTGCTCATATTTCTCCTATTGGCTGAAATTTAAAGGTGTGTGTTACATTTTGATCCATAATCTGATTAAGGAAGGCATTGCGGAGCGTATGCAATATAATACAACACTGCGACCAAGCAAGTTAGGGCTCAGGGAGGGCCACGCAGCCCCTGGGAGGCGTTTGGGAACGACAGCGCACCTGGGAGGGCCCTTCCGGGAATCACTGGCACCTGGAAGGTCCTGGGAGCGCCACCTGCCCCCTGAGAGGGGCACCTGGGGTCACCCGTCTTCCTGTGAGGCCCTAGGGGTCGCCGCCATCTCTGGGCAGATCCCTGTGGTAAATCTCCCCGATCCTGGGAGGCCCCTGGGTGCCGCTGTCTTTTAGCAAGGCCCTGGGGTTTCAGCCACCGTGTTGGGGCCCCTTGGGTGCTGCCCCAGAAAGACCTGGGGTTGTGGCTTGGGACGGCCCCTTGCGGTCTGCCCTCCTTCCTGCTTGAGGGACCTCTGGTTTCACCGCCGTCCCTGGAACACCCCCTGGGGGCGCTGCCTCCTCTACAGGAGGGGCCTTTGAAACAAATCAGGCACTTCTGAGGGCCCCAGAAACGTTGCGCACTATAGCAAACAGGAGGCCTGATGTACTACCCCTGCAGTGCCCTGGGAGGCGGTTGTTTGCAAACACTATTTAGAACAATGGGAGATATGGCCGTTATATAAATACACTACTTATCGCATTTCGATATCATGCTTTGTCGTGAACAATGTAAAGGAGACTAAATATCCAACAGGAAAACACTGGGTTGATTGTTGTGTGACTTACTGCTCTGTTCTCCTGTGTGCTGAAATTTGGTGGTTGTTCAGTCCACCAATCAGAAGAGTTAAGGAAGGGGTGCGGGACTTATGCAATATGTACAAAACCAAGACCAAGCAAGCTATAGGGCTCCTGGGAGAGGCACCTTCCCCTAGGAGGTTTTGGGAGGACTGTGGCCGCACCTAAAGGGGGAGCCCCTAAATTAATCCCAGGCGGCACCTGGGAAGGTCCTGAGGCGCCGCCGCCTGATGGGAACTGAAATGCTGTGAGCCCTGGGTGTGATAAACCTCTGGGAAGATCGCAAATTGTTGCCTGATGAGCCCGTGGGTCTATACCCACTTACAAACAGACCCTGTATTTATGGCACTTGGTGGGCCTGCAAACTGTGAGGGACCCTGGTTCAAAGTCCTGGGTGACAGCCTGGGGACACACGCCTCCCTCCTGGGGAGGGAGCGCTGAGCTCTACGACGCCCTGGAGAGGGCCCCAGGGGAGCCGTTGCACCTGGTATACGTGAGCAGGGTCTGATGTACCCTGTAATGTGCCCTGGGACAGTTGTTGCACTATTTAGAACAATGGGAGATGCTGACGTTTTATCGTCACTGCCCATCAACGTTTCCAATATCATGCATCATGAACAATGTAAAAAGGGGCTAAATATCAACGAAGGAGAAAACATAAGTTGGTGACTGTGCAAACACACTGCTCTGTTCTCCTATTGGCTGAAATTTGGTGGATTTGTTTTGGTCTAATCTGATTAAGGAAGGAATTGGGGGTATTGTGCAATTGTCTGACTTACCGATACGGCAAGTTATGGGCTCCTGGGAAGGCGCAACCCCTGGGTGAACCTACGGGACAACGACACTGAGGATACCCTATGGTCACCACAGAACCTGGAAAGGTCCCAGAAGCCGCCGCCCCTAGGAAACGCTAGGGGTACGTCTTCCACCAGGGGACCCTGGGGTGCCGCCCTCGCTGGGAGGATCCACCGAGTTACTGCCGCCCCTGGTTGGGCCCAGTATTTCGCTGCCGCCTAGAAAGTAGCCCTGCGTGTTATAGCCCTTATGGGCCTTACCTTTCCTGTGGACGTCCCTGGAATGGCCCTGAAGACGCTGCCTCCTCTGGGAAGACCTTTAATCTCCGGCGCCCCTGAGAGGCACCCAGGGCATTGCCTGGTATGATGGCGAGGAAGGGGTCTGACATGCTACCCTGTAGTGCCCCTGGGACAGTTGTTTTAAGCACTATTTAGAACAATGAGGAATGTGACGTTTTTATAAATGCACCACCATCGCACTTGGTATCATCGCATCATGAACAATGTAAAGGGGCTTTAAATATCCAACAGGAAAACATAAGTTACGGTCTTATGCTGACTTACCTCCTGTTCTCCTATTGCTACTAATATAGTGTATATATATTTTTAGTCACAATCACAGTTAAAGGAAGAGATTGTTGGGCCGAATGCAATATGTACACAACACTATATGATTCCTCTAGGGGGCAGTTGTTTTAGCACCATTTAGAACAATGGGAATGTGACGATAAATATATATACTGCCCATACATTTCCAATATCATACATCTTTGAACAGTAGTATAGGAGACTAAATATCAACAGGAAAACTGCAGTTGGGGTGTTGCTGACTTACTGCTCTGTTCTCTAATGGCTTTCAAATTTGGTGGATTTACATTTTGATCCACCAATCACAGTTCAGAAGGAATTACTTGGAGGCCGTATTAATACGTTATCGACACCGACCAAGCAAGTTATAGGCTCCCTGGGAGAGAGAGAGCACCATAACCCCTGGTGAGGCCCTATAGGGGACGACGACGCACCTGAGATCACCCTATGGTCACCAGGAACCTGGGAAGATTCCCAGAAGAGGCGCTTGCACCCTAAAACCGCTGGGGTGTGAAATCTTCCCTAGAGGACCCTGAAATTTGCCGCCCTACGCCTGGGAATCCCTGGAGAGTTACTACCGCCCTGGTCAGAGCCCCATTGTTCGCTGCCGCCCTGAAAGTAGCCCTGCGTGTTATGTACTTGTGGTTGGCCTTACAGCGCCATGCCTGTGAGACTGGTGCCCACCGACGTCCCTGGAATAGCCCCTGGGGACGCTGCCTCCTCCTGGGAGGCCTTTAATCTCTCGACGCCCCTAGAAAGAGAGGGCCCCCGGGGGCTTCGTTGCACCTGGTAATGCAGGAAGGTCTGACGTGCTACCTATGAGTGCCCTGGGGACAGTTGTTTGAGCACTATTTAGAACAATGAGGAATATGACGTCTGAGCCGGCCCACCGCCCTGCATTTCCGTATCCTTCGCATCATAGACAATGTAAAGGAGACTAAATATCCAACAGGGAAAACATAAGTTGGGGTATTATGCTGACTTACTGCTCTGTTCTCCTATTGGCTGTATTATAGATATATTACATTTAGTCACCAATCACAATTCAGGAATGAATTGTTGGACAGATGCAATACTCGCCCTGCCCTATAGTTCCTCATAAGGCAATTTAATTTAAAGCACTATTTGAACAATGGGAAGATATGACATTATATAAATACTGCCATCGCCTTCCAGTATCATCGCCATCATGAACAATGTAAAGACTAAAATATCAACAGGCTTTATAGAACACGGTGTTATGCTGACTTACTGCTCTATTTCTCCCTATTGGCTCATATTATGGGTATGTTCCTTGGTCCTCAATCACAGTTAAAGGGCCAATTGTTGGACAGATGCACAATATATCACGACACCTGTAGTTCCTCTGAGGGCGGTTATTTGACGCTACTTAGAACAATGGAAGTACCAACATAAATACTGCCATCACGCATTTCCGTATCGCATGTGAACAATATAAGGGGCCGTATCCAGCAGGAAAGGCGCAAGTTGGGGTGCGCCTTTTGACTTACTGCTCTGTTCTCCTATTGGCTGTAATTTGGTGTATTAACATTTTAGTCCACCAATCACAGTTAAGTAAGGAATTGCTGGACGTATGCTATAAGTACGATACCACGACCAGACAAACTATAGGACTCCTGGGAGGGGGCACTGCTTCTCCTGGTAGGGCGTTTCGGGTTGCAGACGCTCTTGAGAGTGCCCCTGGGTTCGCCGCCACTACTAGGAGGTCCCCTGGGGTTCCGCTGCCCTTGGGTGTTACTCTGGGGGCGCAGCTGACATGGTAACACCACTGACTTTCTTCTGTT